CCCCCCATCGGCCCTGCCCTGAGTGTGACAGGGGGCACCGCCCCAACTCCCCAATCAGCCCTGCTCTGAGTCTGACCAGGGACTGCACCTAAGGATTGGGCCTGCCCCCTGCCACCCAGGAGCAGGCCTAAGCCAGCAGGTCGTTATCTCCTGAGGGGTCCCAGACTGCGAGAGGGCACAGGCCAGGCTGAGGGACCCCTGTCCCCCCGCAAGTACACAAATTTTTGTGCACCGGGCCTCTAATAACATAATGGCAGTGACATCTCATCATCTTTTCCACATTCTATTAGTTAAAAGCAAGTCCTGCCCTAGCCAGTTTGGCTCAGTGGATAGGATATTGGCCTGCAGACTGAAAGGGAGGGCACGGCTTTGATTCTGGTCAAGGTTGTGAACTCAATCCCCAGTAGGGGGCGTGCAGGAGGCAGTCGATCAATGATTCTCATTATTTTATTTTATTTTTTTAATATATTTTATTGATTTTTTTTACAGAGAGGAAGGAAGAGGGATAGAGAGTTAGAAACATTGATGAGAGAGAAACATCGATCAGCTGTCTCCTGCACACTCCCCACTGGGTATGTGCCTGCAACTAAGGAACATGCCTTTGACTGGAATTGAACCTGGGAACTTTCATTCTGCAGGCCGATGCTCTATCCACTGAGCCAATCCAGCCAGGGCATCATTATTGATGTTTCTATCTTTCTCTCTCAAATTAATAAAATATACACATATTAGAGGGCTGGTGTATGAAATTCGTGCACTGGGGATGGGGGTTCCCTCAGCCCAGCCTGCCCGTCTCACAGTCTGGGAACCCTCAGTGAATGTCCTACTGATGGCCACAGTCTGGCAGAAGAGGCTCGGAGCAGGCGTCCTGTGTGTGTGTGTGTGTGTGTGTGTGTGTGTGTGCGTGTGTGTGTGTGAGTGTGTCTGCTGGGGCCTTCCCCCAGCTGTTCCACGTAGGCTCAAAGCAGTTGACGTGCGTGTGTGTGTGTGTGTGTGTGTGTGTGGGGGGCCTGCCCCCAGCCACACCTTTGAAGCTTGGAGCAGGAGCCCCTCTCTGTTGATCTCTCAGGCTCCTGGCCTCCACTGCATGTTGTACTGTCCCTTGAGCTATGTAAAGGATGGGGGTGCTGCTTGCAAGCCAGGCTTACCTGCTCCAGGATCGCCATGGTGACGGGGGTGCAGGCCCAGCTGGGGGGTGCCCACAGGCCGGGCTTTCCTGCTCCTGGATCAGGCATAGCTGTGGGCTGCCTACAGGCAGCACTTTTCTACTTACCAATGGCCGGATCACCACAGTGTTCCAGGGCCCAGCAGCATGTTCCTGCTTTCCAATAGTCATAGGGTCCTGTCTGGGGGCAGGACTTAGCAGTGCGGGGCTTAGGCAGCATGGGGGTCCCAGCGGGGGGCGGGGCTTATACCCTGCTGCCCAGGGTGCCTGGATGGCAGCTTGCGCTGTCCCACCCTGCCTGTAGTATAGGATAGAGGCCTGGTGCACGGGTGGGGGCCTGCAGATTTTCCTTGAAGGGTTTCCCGGATCAGGGTGGGGGTCCCGCTTGGGTACCTGGCCAGCCTGGATGAGGGGATGATGGCTGTTTTTAGGCTGCCCGCACCCCCTTTAGGGTGGGGGTCCCCACTGGGGTGCCTGGTCAGTCTGGATGAGGGGGTGAGGGCCGTTTTCAGGCTGGCGGGTGACTGAAGCTCCCAGTCTCTCCTTTTTTTCTTTTTTTATTCTGGGATTTATTTATTTTCTATGGCTGTAACTGGAGCTGAGAGCCAGCTTTAGCTCTGAGGCCAGCTCCAACTTGAGGCTTTGGCTGCTGAAAGCAGATAGCTGGGCTTTGTTTAGCTTCTATAATTGAAGCTCTGTTGCCATCACTGCAGCTCTAAGCTCTGAGCCTGCTGCCAGGTGAAAGCAGCTATCTGGAGCTTGTTTAGCTTCTATCATTGCCCTGCGGTTTGGTCATTGTCCGGAGCCGATTGTCTGGCAGGAATTTTCCACCGGGGTGGGGTGGTTTTCAGACGTCAGTGTGGACAGGTCAGCTTCTCACCGGCCCAAGAGAGGGAGGGAGTCCTTTCGTCCCCGGGGCAGGGTGCCAGCGAATACCAGACAATTGTTGCATCCGGAGCTCAGAGCTGGGCTGCTGCAGGTGGAGAACCTTGGCTTCCTCCATCACTGGAGCTAGCAAGCCTCCTGTTCCCTTCAGTTGCCTGGCTGCCGGCCACCATCTTGGTTGGCAGTTAATTTGCATATCCTGCTGATTAGCCAATGGGAAGGGTGTTGGGGGTATGGTCAATATGCATGTTTCTCTTTCATTAAATAGGATATATATTTATAAGCAAGTCCTACTCTCCCTCAAGAGTAGGAGGTTTTACAAAGTGTAAACCCCAGGAAGTAGGGATCACTGGGGCCACCTTACAGTCTGTCCTCCATAGTATTTTTAAGGATTCCCAAGTTCTGTGTTTCAGACTTGGTACAAAGCATCCTTAATCTTTTATTTATCGGTGCTTTTGTTGAAGACTCAGGATTACATCATAATAATAACCTTATATAATAAAAGCCTAATATGCTAAGTGTCTGGTTGTCCAGTTAGCTATTCAACCAATCAAAGCATAATATGCTAATGATATGCTAAGGCCGCTCAACCACTTGCTATGACATGCACTGATCACCAGGGGGCAGACAGTTAACCGGTCAATCAGTCACTATGATGTGCACTGACCACAAGGGGGCAGATGCTCCGGCATATAGGATAGCTTGCTACTGGGGTCTGGCTGATAGGGACTGAGTGAGATGGGCCAGACATGCCCTGGAGCCCTCTAGTGGTCCCTCCCTGAATGGCCAACCTCCTGTGTCCCTCCCCAGCCCCGATTGTGCACTGGTGGGGTCCCTCGGCCTAGCCTGCACCCTCTCGCAAACTAGGACCCCTCGGGGGATGTCGGAGGGCTGGTTTTGGCCTGATCCCACAGGCCAGGCCGAGGGACCTCACTGGTGCATGAATTCATGCACCAGGCCTCTAGTAGTATATAATAATACTACCTGCATTAAGTAGAAGGAAACATAATGTGAAAAAGAATTCAAAACATTTTCTCTTAATATAATTTTTTGTAATAAAACTCATGTAACTCTGAGGTATGCTATTCTGTGAAATTCTGTTAGTTGATATAATATGGTAGAGCCATCATTAGAAAGATCATTTATCACACTAGAGGAGTTATA